CGCTACGGAGCATTCGGTTTCAGTGTAGTTGAGATCGTACCCTGTTACAGTCAGATAAATAAATCCTATACGCTGTTTTTCAAAGGGAAAAAAAAAACTTACACTTTCTGGCCTAGGGTAAAAATCCCATTACCCTTCCTGGGAAAGGGTAACTGAAAAAAAGCGGCCGCCAGTCAGGGCAATCAGGGTGTTTTACCCTGATAACGAGAGCCCTGGCTGCAGCAGTGGCGCGCGCTAAAAACAGTGACGCGCGCGCTAGAAACCGAGGCGCGCGCGGAAAAAAAAGTGACGCGCGCTGCAGCCGAGGCGCGCGCGGGCAGTAGGCAAGGCAGGCAGGTGGTAACACAGTTAGGTGGGCCCGATTCTTAGGTCCTAGAGACCTCCTGCTCTAGATACCATGTCAAGACTAAGTCAAGGGAATGATTGAATTAGGTCAAGGTGGGGTACAAGACTAGAGTGTCGAGAATGTTTGTGTACCCCCTAAGGCTAGCCCCAATATAGCCTAGATAATAATAAGCATATGTTTTGACACCAGTCAATTCCAGTAGCCCTGCTAAGACTTTCCAGCCAAGTTTCCAGCCCTCCAGTAGTCACAGCTACTCTGTTTTACAAGTGAGATGAGTGCTTGTTTGAATCTTAGCTTGTACTTGTGCTGAGGGCGTGTCCCGTGACAACTTGTTTGACGCTGTGAACTGGTTGATCCGGTGTTTGTTACACAAATTGCCCGTCACTTCCCCAATTCGTGGCTTGGGTTGCTTGGCGATACTGAGCGACGTTGTGAGGGTCGCTGTTCTGGGTGTACACCTTCGTGAGATTTTGGAAAAAAATGTCAGATTACAATTGTATCTCTAGGCTACAGTAGGGTCACTCCTTAGTGAGTACAACACTTTAGGGTTAGGTTTCCCCTACTTCTACTCACCTCTTGCCTAGTCCAATCCATCATTCCTAGTTGTATTCTTGACTTGTTATCAGAGTAGGAACCGTTCCTACATGGGCCCACCGTTCCGCCTAGTGGTAGCGCCACGCCCTACACAGTAGCCAGCGCGCTGGCGCCCCTAGCTCTCACTGTCGCGACCCTTGCAGCCCGTGCGCTGCCCCTGCGACCGCGCTGCCCCTGCAGCCGTGCTCGCCCCTACGACCGTGCTGCCCCTTGCAGCCGTGCTCGCCCCTGCTACCGTGCTGCCCCTGCAGCCGCGCCTGCCCCTGTGGCCCGCGCGCTGCTCCTCCAGCCCGTACGCTGCCCCTGCAGCCCGTTCACGCTGCCCCTGCAGCCGCGCGTCGCCTCTGCAGCCAGCCCGCGCGTCGCCCCTGGAGCCCGCGCGCCGCCTGTGCAGCCCGTCCTCGCGGACCCTGCAGCCCGCGCGTCGCCCCTGGAGCCCGCGCGCCGCCTCTGCAGCCCCTCCTCGCGGACCCTGCAGCCCGCGCGTCGCCCCTGGAGCCCGCGCGCCGCCTCTGCAGCCCGTCCTCGCGGACCCTGCAGCCCGCGCGTCGCCCCTGGAGCCCGCGCGCCGCCTCTGCAGCCCGTCCTCGCGGACCCTGCAGCCCGCGCGTCGCCCCTGGAGCCCGCGTGCCGCCTCTGCAGCCCGTCCGCGCGGCCCCTGCAGCCCGTACGAGCTGCCTTTGCAGCCAGCGCGGCGCCCCTGCAGCCCGCGCGTCCTGCCCCTGCAACCTGCGCCAGTGCCCTGCCCTGCGCGCGCTGACGCCCTGCCCTGCGCCAGCGCCATGCCCTGCGCCCGCGCCCTGCCCTGCGCCAGCGCCCTGCCCTGCGCCAGCGCCCTGCTATACCCTAAATATAATTAAATTGTTTATTAAAAAAAAAAAAAAAAAAAAAAAAAAAAAAGAGGACCCTAGGTGCTTCTGCCCTAGGAGCTACTGCCTACTACCGCCCTGCTCTGGCCGCGCGCCGCCCTGCTGCTGTTACTACTGCTGCTGCTCCTACTCGTGCTACTGGGAGTGGAGGAGGTGCTGCTGGGAGTGCAGGAGGTGCTGCTGGCGCTGTAGGAGCTGGAGGTGCTGGACCTACTCCTGACCGTCACTGTCTGTCATAGCCACTTCCGCGGCAGTTGCTGCGGCCAGGGGTGGACAGCAGCGGGCACTGCTTCTCCCAAACAACCCCACCCCTCAGCAGCTTCGTGAGTGGGTTATTCAGCGAGGTCGTCCTGGTGGTGGAGGTTATCGTTTTGTTAGGACTGCTGCTCTTGGTGTTAGTGAGTCTGCTGCCGCTCCAGGTGCTAGTGAGTCTGCTGCAGCTCTAGGTGCCCGTGAGTCTACCGACGCTCTAGGTGCTAGTGCGTCTACTACCACAGGTCCTGCCTCAGCTGAGGTCTTGCACACTTTCACGCTTGACTCAGGCGCGTCACGTTGCTTCTTCCGTGATTGCACCACAGTCACACCACTCACAGCACTTGTCCCAGTCTCACTGGCTGACCCCTCTGGGGGCCCAGTGGTTGCGAGAGCCTCCACGGTCCTCCCTTGTCCAGCAGTCCCCTCTGGTTCTTTGTCAGGTCTCCACCTCCCCACGTTCTCGACGAACTTGGTGAGCAACGCTGCCATTCAGGATGTCTGGGTTGATACCTTTATTCCTGGAGGGCAGCGTGTGGCGATCTGTACGTGCTCCCGGACTGGCCGTCACCTGGCTACGTTCACTCGTCAGCCTGGGTCTAGTCTGTACACTCTGACCACTGCGTCTGCACAGGTGGCTGAGTCAGGTCAGGTAGCTGCGTCGAGTCGAGCGTCTGCGTCAGGGCAGTTAGCTGCGTCTTGCTCGTGCAGAGTACTCACGCACGAGACTCAGCGCTGGCACCACCGTCTTGGTCACCCCTCCCTGCAGCGTCTGCGCGGCATGCACTCCCGGCTCCTGGTCTCTGGCCTCCCTGAGACCCTGCCCCCCCTCCCGCGCTCACTTGCGCCGCCGTGTCTTCCTTGCGTCGAGGGGCGGCAGCGCGCCGCTCCTCACTCCTCCGGGTTTCCTCCGACCACTGCTCCTCTGCAGACTCTCCACCTGGACGTGTGGGGCCCGGCCCCCGTCGGTGGGACGGACCAGGAGCGCTACTTCCTGCTGGTTGTTGACGACTACACACGCTACACCACAGTCTTCCCCTTGCGTCGCAAGGCGGACGTCAGCGGTGTTTTGATCCCTTGGATCCGTGCTACTCGTCTCCAGCTACACGAGCGCTTTCATCAGGACTTCCCAGTCCTGCGTCTGCACTCTGACAGGGGTGGTGAGTTCTCTTCTGGCGTCCTTGAGACGTTCTGCCAGGATGAGGGCATCGCCCAGTCGTTCACGCTTCCGGCCTCTCCGCAGCAAAATGGGATCGCTGAGCGTCGCATTGGCCTGATCATGGAGGTTGCTCGTACCTCCATGATCCATGCGGCTGCTCCCCATTTCCTGTGGCCGTTTGCGGTCCGATACGCCGCGCATCAGCTCAACCTCTAGCCCCGTGTCTCTCGTTTTCGATGGACTTCGTCACGGGGTTACCGGCTGGAGCAAGTGGGAACGACGCGATCTTGGTCGTTGTCGATCGGCTGACGAAAATGGCACATTTCGCAGCATGCAAGAAGTCAATCACAGCCGAAGAAACAGCTCGCCTCTTCATCGCCACCATCGTTCGATTACACGGGATACCAGCAGCGATCATCAGCGACCGCGACACGAAATTCACCAGCAACTTCTGGCGGAACCTGTGGCAGCAGTTCGGCACGCGACTGCAGTTCAGTTCATCATACCACCCCGAAACCGACGGACAGACAGAACGGACGAATCAGACCATGGAACAGCTCATCCGGGCCACGTGCGACGACCCGACCACGTGGGAACAGCAACTGCCACTCATCGAATTCGCGTACAACAACTCGCCATCCGCCACGACCCAACAGTCACCGTTCTACCTGAACTACGGACAAGACCCCACAGTACCCATGACCCCGAATCCCGACAACCCAGTCCCACGCGCGCAACAGTTCGCAGAAATACTGCAAGCAGCACGGACCCGAGCAGCAGAAGCAATAAAAAAATCAAACATCATCGCTAAACGCAACGCTGACCGCCACCGCCGACCTGTCACTTACCAGCCAGACGACCTAGTTTTACTCGACACTCAAAACCTCCGCCTGCCCATCACCCCAAAACTCCGCCCCCGATATTGCGGGCCATTTCGCATCAGCCACACGATCACACCCGTCACACACGATCAAACCCTAAACCCTGGCCACTCACGCTCCAGCAGAGTTTCACTCGCTCGGGAGCCCAACAGATTGTTTTTTTGCAACACACAAGGGTTCCCACAGATTCAAGTGGACCCAACTAGAAGGGGGGGGTCACTATTTTGCCTGCGGGCTTTAAAATGTGTGGAAACCCAGCTCAAGAGGCGAATATTTTCAGTAACTGTAAGGAATTTTCCCGAATTCCTTATCGGGGTTGACTGCTTCGCGTACAGCCCGATTTTTGGACTTCGCACGTTCGGCCGATTTCAACGCTGCCGAGGCTCCTCGCGTCGCCTTCGGCATTTCCCAATCGCCAAACCTGCACCCAACCTTGCTCGTCCGAGGTTCCCTCCTAGCTAGGCTAGCCCCTACATTAGTCTGTGCCTTCATTGTATTCTCAGATCAGTTAATCACAGTCTCGTTATTCGTTTACCTGCGCACTCTCTTTTACAACTCATAACAGTAACAGTGCTGGATAAACTGAAAACCCTGATGTACCGTATGAGATTCTTGTTGTGTACACAAACATCAAGACACAGGAGGCAGAAGTCTAGCCATCTCAAGAAGTAATTAATTAGCACAGACAAAGAAACCACTGCAACAAACCCAAGAAACCAGAACAACGTGCAGCATAAACATTAAGGCATTCAGATCCAAAACCCCACCAGTAAAACTGACGAAACCCTGCAAAACCCAAGCCCGTACCATCACCCTCACACATCCAAATGGTCACTAGAATCAGCGCAGCGCATGCGCTGGCATCTGACGGGGCCCCACCAGCTGCTGCGACCCCGGCTTCATTCTTCCTTCTCGCCCTTCCCACCCTTGTCACCCTTCTCGTGCTTCTCACCCTTCTCGTGCTTCTCACCCTTCTCGTGCTTCTCGCCCTTCTTCCCCTTCCTCCCCTTCTTCCCCCTCCTCCCCTTCCTCCCCTTCTTGCCCTTCTTCCCCTCCTTGCCTTCCTTCTTCAGGCTCCTGCGAATGTCCGCCACATCAGCATCAGCATCTCCCTCCGGCAGCGGGGAGAGCAGGTCGACCTCCGCCATGCTGCGAGCAGCCACGCCATCAGACCCCGCCTCCCCGCCCCCACTCGGTGCACCTGAATCACCGCCAGCGGCGGCAGGGGTCTCAGCACCAGGTGCCGCTCCCTCAGGTGCCGCCCCACCAGGTGCCGCCCTCTCAGGTGCCGCCCCACCAGGTGCCGCCCCACCAGGTGCCACCCTCTCAGGTGCCGCCCTACCAGGTGCCGCCCCACCAGGTGCCGCCCCCTCAGGTGCCGCCCCACCAGGTGCCGCCCTCTCAGGTGCCGCCCCACCAGGTGCCGCCCCACCAGGTGCCGCCTTACCAGGTGCCGCCCCCTCAGGTGCCCCCCCATCGGGTGACGCCCCCCCTGGTGCCGCCCCACCAGGTGCTGTTACCGCGCCGCCATTCTTTTTCCCCTTCTTGCATTTCTTGCCCTTCTTCCCCTTCCTGCATTTCTTCCCCTTCTTCCCCTTCCTGCATTTCTTCCCCTTCTTCCCCTTCTTGCATTTCTTGCCCTTCTTACCCTTTCTGCATTTCTTCCCCTTCTTCCCCTTCTTGCACTTCTTCCCCTTCTTCTTCAGGCTCCTCCGCGTGTCTGGCACGTCAGCATGCGCAGCGCCCTCCGCGAGCAGGGAGAGCAGGTCGTCCTCGGCCAGGACGCGAACAGCGCCATCATGGGGCGACTCCTCGCCCTCCTCCGCGAGAGCGCGGTTCGTTAATGCCACATCCGCCGCGGCGTCCTCGCTTGCGTCGTCTGCGAGCTCCTTCCCCGTGGCGAGGAGACTGTCGTCGGGCCTTGCGGCGAGAGTGGCGAGAGCGGGGTTGAACTCCGCCGCGGCCGCCAGGTGCGCGGCGGCGAGCGCACAGAGCAGCAGCAGGAAAGCGCGAAGCACCGTCATGGCTTTAGAGGACTCAACTTGCACTATCACTAGTAGAAGATTGAGAAGCTAACTTGTTGGATGAGACTGTTACAAGTGATGGAGAAGAGTGGAAATGCGAGCGAATAAATAGTGTCGAGCTGTGTTTCGAGGCGGCTCGGGATTCGCCTTGAATCGAAGGAAGTACGAATCGCGCAACTAATTGAAGCAAAGACTCCTCTGCGTGTGAGGCGGTGGTAGAGTCGCTCATAATGTTACTCGTTTCAGAATGAGTTGGCTTGATTCACGGGGCCTCGTCCGGCTTGGGCGGATGCGACTCTCTGGTAAAATTCAACTGCTTCAGTCAGCCTGTCTGACTCAAACAGGCGGTGCTCCGCAGGCTGCGGCAATGGCAACGCTACAAGAAATCCGTACAGAGCTGGTTTTCCCCAAAAAAAAAACAAGCTGCTGGCACTTGAATATTCGAGCGACCCTCGAAGTTGCCAATTATGGAGCCACCCTCGAGATTGCTGGAGCGACCGTCCGCAATTATGCGGCAAACCAACTTCAACAACACACCGCCAATTGCGGCAACGAAGAGATCGGAGATTTGCTGTACATCTACATTCTACTCATATAAAGGTATGGGATGTCGAAGAGTGTTAGTGCAATGGAGAAGCAAGCGAGGACTCCACTAAAGGAGCAAAAGGTAACAAGTGCGAGCGAATGGATGAGCGAATAATAAGCGAAAACATTTACGGTGACGCGCGAAAACGAGCTAGGCTATGCAATGCTGGCAGCGAGGCTCGAGCTACTCTCGACGCGTGGGTTGATGTCAAATGTTATATGTGTTTGTTAGGCTACAACGAGTTGCATTGTATAGGGTACAACTCTTTCTAGGTTTCATATTTGTACCCATCTCGTACTAGTCACACTCATTCCATTACGTGCGATTCTGAGATGGTATCAGATGGTTAGTCCTAGGCCACCTACGTTTTAGACTGCCGTGCCGTACAGCCAGCCAGCCAGCCAGCCGTCCAGCCAGCGAGCCAGCCGTCCAGCCAGCCAGCAAGCCGTTTAGCCAGCCAGCCGTTTAGCCAGCGAGCCAGCCGCCTCTCGCCTTGCCGCGCGCCTGCTTCGTGCCCTGTCGCGCCCTGCTATGCCATGTCGCGCCCGCCGCGCGCCTGCGGCGCCCTGCCGCGCGTCTTTCGCGCGCCTGCCGCACGCCCTGCCGTGCGCCCTGCCGCGCCTGCCGCCCGCCATGCCGCGCCCTGCCACCGAGCCTGCAGGTGCTGCCCGCCGTCGTACCTGCAGCTACTGCCCACCGCCGCGCCTGCAGCCACGGGGGCTCACCGCGAGGCTCATCGTGCGTACTCAGTTTGGGAGTCGCGTGTCGCTGCTGCACGCCTTGCTCTTAGTCACCTCCTGCCGCTGGCCGAGAGAGTGCACTTTCGCCAGGTCGTGACGGCGCAGGAGTGTCTAGATGCTATTGTTGCCCGCTACTCCACCTTCTCATCTGCTACTCCGGGACGCCTCCTCATGCCCTTCGTCTACCCTGATCTCCCTGCTTTCGCCACTGTCACTGACCTCACTAGCCACCTGCGCTCAATTGACACTAGCTTCCGCGCTGCTTGCACTACTGACCACCTTTCTGAGCGCGCCCCCACCCATGTATCTCACCCTGCACTTCCTAGCGACCCGCCTCCCTGACCGCCTCGCGCCTTCCCGCGACGCCCTCCTCGCCATGCACCCCATGGACCTCACTATCGATCTCTTTGCGACTCGTCTCACTGAGATCGAGACCCACCTTCGCACCATCGCATCCACCACTGGTACAGTAGTCCCCCCCATCTTTGAGGGGTGCGCACCGCCCCAGTTTCCTACCCCAACTGCCTCGATTGCTGTTGCTGAGCCTACTGCTTCAACTGAGGCTGCAACCGTCTCTGCCCCTTCTGGTGGGCGGGGACGGCGCAGGGGTGGCTGTGTTCGTGGAGGAGGTGGAGGTGCTGGTACAACGGGGGGTGCTGATGCTGGGAGTACTGGTTCTGGGGTGCTCCCGCATGAGGTGCTGGTACTGGCGATGCGACAGTGCTCGTAGAGCGCGATATCATGCCGAAACCGACTCTAAAGGGAGAGGTCTGCTTCCACCAGCCACCACTGAGAATCCACTGCGCGACCTCTGCATCGAAGCGCAGGAGGGACTGAGACGCCATAGCAAGAGGAAACGAGATGAAGCTACAAGAACACAAGAAGTAGAAGGGGGGGGAGGGGGGGGGGGGGGGGGGGGGAGGGCACGGTTGTGTGAGAGGCTCAGGTGCCAGGGGCAGCTAGGGCGGCTAGGGTTGGCAAGGGCGGCAAGGGCGCCAACTACGGAGAATCACTAGACAACGGGAGTGGACTACGGAGAGAGGCACGGGGTTGTGCGAGTGATCGCAGCGTTGCACTACTTGCTGTATTCACAGAGAAATTTGGCAATCGTTTCACTAAGAAATTGAGAAGAACATTAGATTACAATGAGGCATGCAAGTCGATATAGCTAGAAGTAGGTGCAGATAGATGGTCGCGTCGCCAGGCACATTGCGCAGGTGCCAGGTAGAATACGTGTCGACGGTTTTGCCAGCCGTACACTGTCGAACACGTGATGCCATTCCGCAGGTCGACTCTGCAAAAACCTCCTGGGCGACATTCGCCCATACATCGAATTTCGCAGTCGAGCGACTTCTGTCGACCAGATCGACGATGCTCAGTCGAACAGACAAGCACGTCGAGCAGAGCCCGTCGACCAGCACTTCTCTACGGGCTTGTCGATCAGCGTCCTCTACCTGCGATGTCGACCACATCCTCTGCCGACGATGCTCGACCAGCTCCTCCGCAGAGCCTCGTCGACCAGACAACTGCGTCGACTTCTGCGAGCAGTCGGCGTCGACTTCTGCGGAAATGTCGAAGTCGAATTCTGCTGGCTGTCGACGTCGAACTCTGCGGACAGGTCGGCGTCGAACTCTACGGACAGGTCGGCGTCGAACCCTACGGGCAGTTTGCGTCGACTTCTGCGCGCAGTCTGCGTCAACTTCTGCGCGCCCCCGACTGCGAGGTCTGCTTCGCCCAAGCGAGGGCGGGGCCATTTCCCGTCAACACCAATGACATCAACAGTGAGCTGCGACTGTAGCGGATGTACTAGCAGCTGTGGTGGCTGCAGTGAGCTGCGCCGGGAGCGGCTGTAGCGGCAGTTTTAGCGGCAACTGTAGTGGCTGTAGCGGGCTGCAACTGTAGCGGCTGTTGTGGGCTGTGGCAAGAGCGGCTGTAGCGGCAGCAGTGGCATCAGCGGGCTGGGGGGGGAGCGGCTGTAGTATTGAGCAGGCAGCTACAGCCGCGTGCGGTAGGCTGCAATGATGGGTTGCGGCGTACGAGCAGCTGCAGCAGCGCGCATGCGGCCAGCGGGCTGCGTACGGGCGGCGGCAACGCGGGCGACGGGCGGCTTATAGTGGCAGGCAGTGCGGGCGATAAGCGGCGTAGGCTTGACGGGCACCAGGGGCGACAGGCGGCCTAGGTGACGGGCGGCTAAGGGCGATGGGCGGTCGAGGGCGACGGGCGGTCTAGTCGACGGGCGGCCTAGGCGACAAACGGCCTAAGCGCGACGGTCGGCTTAGGTGACGGGCGGCCTGGGCGACGGGCGGCCTAGGCGCGACGGGCGGCCTAGGTGCGACGGGCGGCCTAGGTGACGGACGGCCTAGGGGCGATGGGCGGTCTCGGCCGACGGGCGACCGAGGGCGACGTGCTGCTAGGGACGACGGGCTGCTAAGGGCGACTGGCAACGGGCGGCCTAGGGCAACGGCCGGCTAAGGGCAAAGGGCGGCCGAAGGGCGGGGCGCCTCGGGGCGTGCTAGTGTAGGCGGTCCAGGGTGGGCATAGCGGGAACGGGGACCAACCTACTCGTGATACGATGTTAGAAAGAGAATGGAATGAGAATGACAAACAACAGGGCATACAGGGGGTAGATATAGCAAACCCAAATCTGTAGCTTACAAATGTTGTACTCTCTAAGGAGTAACCCAACTTAGCCTATAATATGCAACACATATAATTTGACAGATACTTCAATGACGCGCGTATGGAGCTGCATGGTGTACTACAGGCCCGCATTTGCCACCACCGAAAAGTTCGCCAGCTGAGCGCGATGGGGAATTAACCTCGGCATGAGCTACGAATATAAATAATGCATCATCCTCGATCTAGGGAGCAAGAAGATTGCACACAAGCGCGACATTCTGTTTTACAAAAGGCTCACCCTCGCGAGATTCTGAGCCGATCAGCGGGGAGGAGCAACAACAGTCGACGCGCATGGCGAACGAATCGCCACTCCCGAAGACCAAGCAGCGGCCACGATCCTCGATCAAGACTCACCTGACGAGCATCCCGGTCCGAACCCTCGGCCTTGCGATGACGACGATGACAGCGACGACGACGCGCTGCCAGAACCATTGCGAAGCAGAGGCCCCGTACGAAGTCCCTCACCCGCACCTGAAAGCGACGACGACAATGTGCAAGAAGTTAGCACCGAGGGACGACATATCACAACAGAATCCGGGCTGCAACTGCTCGTGCTTCACATCGCAACAACCACGGCCCTACGAGTCATTGAGAAAAAAACGCCAAGACAAGCTTTGGCATGACCCCACAGTAAGGAATGGTGGGCATCTATGGATGCGGAACTAAAACCCCCGCCGACGGCTCGATAGGTCGTGCGCGGCTACGACCAACGCCACGGGATTGATTTCGACCAAGGATTCGCCCCCGTGAGCCGCCACACCTCGCCATCACCTCCTCCAAGCATCTCCCACTCTGTCAGATCGACCTCAAGAATGCGTTTCTGTATGCACTAGTTGATTTTGTGATTTACATGGAGTGACTGCATACCTACGGCGAAGGAGATTCCAAGGTGTGTCAGCTAAAGAAACCCCTATACGGGATCAAGCAGGCGCCCTGACTGTGGCAGCCGCACCTACACAAAATCCTAGTTGACATCCGCTTCACTCAGCTGTCGC